GCGGCTGCCTCACGTAAAAATTTTGACCGAGGCGAGGGTGATGAAACTGATGATTCCATAAGTCAGAGGCATCTTCATCGAGAGAGTAAAAGGTCTAGAGGAAGATCCGTAGTTCCTCCCACTCGAGAGGGGTCTGGAGCTCAACTTAATGGTGGTGGCGGTGGTGGTATGGAGACCTACTCGCCCAGAAAGAACTCCTTGATTAGTGCCTCTTCGTACAGTCCCTCCCGACCCGCCTTCTCCAATGAAAGACAAATTGGTAGTGGTGCCGGCAACAGTATCTACGAACCTACATACATTCCCTCCGTGCCTGCTCCTCATCCTGCCTCTAGACGAACTCTTTTGCATGACTTGCCTCCAAAGCCGCCCATGGATCCAGATTTTTATGCAAAGTGGATGGGTAGGGGTTCGTCGAGTCGGCGGTGAACAAGAAAAAACGTCTTTCAGCTGCAGGTCTGAAAAGGACGACTTTCATCGTCCTAGTCTTTCATCCTCGAGCTTGTGCGTGCATGGTTGTACGCGGTCCTGCCTATATGTATATATTTTGTAGAGAAGGGTTCAGAAGTAGAACCACTACGATTCCTGCCTCGTTCGCCTGAGCAGAAAACCGACTTTCTATTTTTTAATTACGCGATTTATTCGTATCCGATGGTTCAGGTCACACTAACTTATTCCAATCTTGTATTTTGATCAGCCTGGACCACTTGTGTATATAAAGAAAAAAACTAAGCTCCGTAACCAAGATATAGAATTTTAAAAGAATCTAACGATGTTTTACTCTTTGCTTAACTTGAGACCTTTGGGGAGTGGGGGTGTGGAAATGTCCCTTGTACTAATGATAATTTGTTAATGCTCACTGATTTGCTAGATTATCGCGCAGAATCCTGCGGCATCTCATGCGCTCAATCTTTGTAGTCATTCACAAACATGGTTAATCGTTTCCCTGTTTGTTTATCCTCTAGTACTTCGTCCCTATGCCAGTTCCTCTTATTCGACATCCAGTCATAGCTATCGATGTTTTTAAAGTTTGCCGGTAGGTCATATTCTACGTCGACGAAATGTAAGCTACCGTTGCATTCGGCCTTAATTCGACTCCTAAGTCTGTAAACATATGTCGGGTCGGATGTTGGGACTCTGCGGTTCTCTTTTTTCTAACCCCAGTTTGTCAAAATATCGACTAATGAGCGGATTCCACATCCGGTTTCGTACTCTCAACAGGTCTCGTCATTTCGTTATTTAAGGTGTTGAGTACTTTTACTGTGTCAAATTTCAGGCCACACGTGGTGCTGTTTGTGTGAAGAATTTGCACGTAATATTTTATTTCACCAGAGTCGAGGTGGCTTAGATAAAGCTGTGATTTTTCACACCGGTGAACTTTGTCGATTCCACCATCTTTCACGCAGGTGATCTCAATGCAAAAGAGGTGCTCAATCCTATTTGAATCGGCATATCAGCACCTCTGATGTACTGAAACCAACAAACTACCACAGGACTTGCTTACTCTGATATTCTTCTAAGCAGTTGATGAAGCTAGTTTTTTGTCCTATTGTTCTTTGATTTACCTCAATAGTTTTCATATTTTTAACCACGTGACTTTAACTAGCCTTTCTACTAAGTACGTCAATGAATAGCCAGAGTTGTCAAATGCGCCCTCCAACAATATCGGTTACTTAAGCGGAATCAGAAGTTTAGCCGCTGGAACTCGGGTAAATTCAACCTCCAAAATTCGCTTTTGCAATGTCGCAAACTACCTTCACCTACATGGATCCAACAACCAGCCAATCATTTCTTTCGGCCAATTAACGCCCAGAGTTCTGACCAATGGCGGCTTGGGGGCTGCTGATAGTGATGTTTTACGATTCAGTTGTCCAATCGTTCCCTTTATTAGTTCACTAGAAATCTCGTACACTTCGTCTGCACAAGTTCTGTAATGCTACTGCTCAAAGGACATTTGTGTTGTCTTTTTGACAGAAAGAAAGCAAAGCCTACTTCTGATTCAGTTGCAGCGGCTGCCATCGATCAGCTTGTTACAAAGAGGCGCACATACAAATTTGCGTTCTTTCATTTCGTACTTACTTGGTGTATGTGAGTTTGTATGTATGCATGTGTGCGCATAAACTAGCCGCAGTTATGCTGGTGGGATGCCGAAATACATCCACGCATCATTAGCATTAGTTGCATGTGTCATTTATGTTTATCTCCCCATGAAGATGCGCTAAAATTAGCGGTCTGCTCTGGCATTCCAATGTGCTGTGTCATTTGAAATCATCGGTAAGTATGCCGAAATATGTAGGATTTTTCCCTGATTAATTCAGACTAGCTACTTTCATAAAGCCAGTGCCAGTCTGATCTGAAAGGTTTCAAGCGATTCTCTTCTGCATCAATAATTCCTCTGAGCGGTAGCTCAGAAGCTGTCTAAAATAGAGTTAACAATGATCTTCGGGTAGACTGTAAATTCCAAGCTCAGTGAAGGCATTTGCTGGATTAATGAGCATTATGTAGTTTCTTGGTAAGTTTAGGAATGTTAAGTGGGACACTCATTTTCGATTCAATGAACTGGCGTGTGCTTACAGTAAGCTGTCACTGATAATTGCTAGTTCAAAAACAACTACAAAGTGCATCAAAGTGAGAAGTAGCATTGCTTTAGAGCCTGTAATTTACGCCAGTAGTAGTGGAGTATATCATTTTTAACCATTTCTGATAAGATTGAACTAATTGAGTAGATTTCCCCTAACAGGAGTGCTGCTTATCCCAACTAGGTGGCATGATGACTTGAGTTAGCTCTGCTTGATCCCAATTTGGACCTCCTCTGATTACTTTTCTGTCTTCTGCGGTAATGACTAAACAGTAAATAACTGCAAGGGGTTGTTGGCTCTCCCAACTTCGTGTGTGCTATTTTCGTTGTATTTTTTCTCTCATCTGCTTGCTTTCACTTTACTAGATAGTGTACTCACGGCTTTATCTAGGTAGCTTGAAAGTATTGTGAATCAAAGTTGTATCAGATATTTGAAATTATCATTCCGTTTCACAGTATGAACGGAAAATGTTCATAAATTTGCGCATTATTAGATTCCGGTTCAATCTATTGTCAAATTGGGGAATAACTAAAGGTTCCATTAATTACAAGGACATGCACTATCTGAACACATCATACCTGCGTACGCTATGGGTCTAATTGCCTAAAAAGTAGTTGTTATTCTTAGGTGGTCATTGTTCCTGCATGTGTGAATTGGAGATGTGAAAACCAATTTCAGTTACTTAGCCTGCAAGTGGACATTTAGTTATCACCCACCCGTCTCCTGAGTGACTCACCAATTTTGTACTAAATTGAAGTGACAACGTCCTACTAAACACCTGTCTACTTCTCGTAAATTAGTTTAGAAATCCTTTAGATTTTTCAAGGATTAGCACTTTCGATACAGTAATAAGGCCATATAACGTGGTTCATCACCGAGCCTAACCCTCATTCCGTCTTTAACTCACACAAAGGTGACGGAATAAAATAAACTTCTGTTAACTTTTCAAAAGTTGTAACTCCCTCAATCGGGTTGTTGAATATACAGGAGTGGTTTATGTTTGGTTATAAAGTGAGACGGTCTCCTTCATCAACTGAAAATGCGGTAAAGCAATAAAAATGGGCAAATTTATCTAAAGCAGGAAGCTAAGCTTTTATGAGATGGGAGATCCTCAACATAGTCTATGGATAGGTGTAGCTAATGGTGCGGATTTTTAATTCGAAAATATGGCGTAATCAGAATGTGAGCAAATCAAGGAACTATGGCTCCCCAATGGAGGACCCATTCGATTTTTATTCCGTTACTGATGCTTCTTCATTAGAGTCTACCCGACATATCGACTCAATAAGGCAAAGATCTCTTTGAATTTATGAGCGTAAGAAGATATTCTAAGTTTTGTGATCACAGAACAGTAATCTTTACGAACCTATTAACTAGTCTTTTTCAGTCAGGCCTTGTACTTTAATGGCTGCAGTGTCTAATGGAGGAATCAGTCCTTCCTGAAAACTTGAAAGCACACCTGCCTAGGAGGCGTCTTTTGGCGTTAAGGTCAAAAATTTATGAGCTTGTCGGTGTGTAAATTGAATCTAGACACAAACACACGTACAGTGGTTGGGTTTCACTCATCCCACAAAACTTCATTCCCTTGGGTATGTGTCCTGACACGTAATATCGGTAATTTGGTGAAGACAGACGCACTCCCATAAGCCTTAAGCTAAATTGTGTTAACCACCGATTCCGAAATCAAAAGCGGGTTTATTGATACTAGAGCGCATGTGACCACCCAATATCCGCACTAACTTGCTTGAGTGTATTGCCGAACAACGATGACATTCACTCATTCTTTTAGTCAAATCAACTAGCGAGACATTATTTTAGGCTTTATATTTAGGTATAGTTGTGATTTATAACAACTACAGGTGTTAATAGACTCGATTCTTTTAAGAACAGAGGTAATGCATGCCCAAACAGCTTCATTCAAGAAATTTCCTACTAGAATTTAACCTCATGCAAAGTCTTTTCTAGCTTTATTCATTTTTTTCTGTTCATTTTTCACATTCTCATCCATTTACTTGAGGTTTTAATAATTGATATTGAGATCTTCTCAGCTCAAATGATCACTAATAAATAGGCGTTTTGAAAGAATGCTATATATGCAAGGCCTATCTCAGTGTCACGATGCTATCCGAAAGTTTCTGCCATTCTGGACCTTGCAGTGTGAAATCGACTGCAGTCAAGTTTTTTTAAGTAAATGGAATTAATCGAAGACGGTGGTAGCTTGTGTCTCAAATATAGTCATATGACGAGTTCCACTGGAGATGATCTCTTGAAATTGATGATAGCGAAACAAAGGTTTGAAAAAGCACTTTTGATTACTATAATATGCCTTTGAAAATCTACTAAAGCTTAGAAATTAGGCTAACAGAAACAACAGCCCTAATGATTAGGAATGCTTCCCACTGAGCTTAAGTGAATCAGCCATTAAAAATAGTGCCTAAAATGGGTTAGTTTTGCCAGCATAAGCAGCCGATGAATAAACGGGACTTGTACTTCTGCGGCGATTTAGCCACAATAGCATATGACTGGGATACCTACACGCAAATTATCGCAAAATCGGTGAATCAAACATTTTAATAGGTAAATCAATTGTGTTTCCATTGCGTACAGGTGTAAAGCTTTACATTTTTTATTACAAATCTTCCATATACTATCGGAATTCGGGTTTTACGATTCCATGTATAATAGTTTTTGGAAACAGTGATTTGGCGCATCCTACGCGACTTATCGTGCAATACTTCTAGATTACGTTTAGCTTTTCTAAATGCAACAGAAGGACAAAAATTGGGTCTTATAATTAAAAGTCTATTAATTTTATTTTGTTTGAACATACTGCACAAGCTATTTATAGGAGCGGTGGATCTAGCACACGCCCAATGTTTTTATTGGTTTGTTATGTCTAAGCAAATTAGGCCGTTGTTAAATTTAACAACAATAGAGGTCCCACCTAAATTTCTCCAAGTAACATAATAGTTGGGTGTCTAAGATTTGTTATAGACCTTGGAGGAATCGGCGAAGACAGTTAAAAAGCTTAAGGAGACGGAATCCGACATTGTCAGTTCAGCGGTAAACAATTTTGCTGGTATCTTACAATCATTAGGCTAATCGCTCAGGAACGGAAGATGACCGGCGTATGTTACAGGCTGGATTGATTTACCTTGCTCTTACTGAGCCAGATCCCCGGCGTTCTTACATACAGGATATCGTTTTGATCTCACGAGATAATCTCAATTATGCTCTTTCTGAGCTAACTAGGTTAGTAGCGGAAACATGGCCTAAAATGCATCAAGAAGTCCGGAAGAATATGCTTAGCATCGTTGCTGAACTGCTCGCCACACGTGGTGCAAATGTTGACTTATTAATGCTGCACTCATATCGGAGAATGCAGGGTATGAGAACGTTTATAAAAAATGACATATTTGAACTCCATAATCCGTACGTCTGTTTCTTTATAGGTGGAGACTTAAGCTCGCAGAACTTATGGCTTATCCAGTCACTTCTCGACATTATTGTCAGAAATAAGTATGTGAATGGCTTATCATTACCTCCTTCAGAGACCTAAATTATGCTTGATTTTGTATCCTTTTTAGGGAATCGTTGGAACAAAACGATCGGAGTACTTTTCTCTTGTCTTTGACGGTCTACTCCTTCCTGCGTATCATCCCAGATCACCATAGTGATACGAACTCATTTCTAAAAACACCCGATGGCACCGCGTTGCTTTCGAAGCTATCCGTTTTGTACCAGCGAGAGTCTAATCTAGTGATTGAACTTATACGGAAAAATGTATGCGGCTTTTATTGGGTTGCTATTTAATGTCCTTTTAAAATCTAGTTTGATAAGTGCGCTTCTATTGGTCGTGATTTCATCCGGTTGCTCTCTTATCTTTCTCGCGTTGAACCCTTCCAAAAACTATGGAACGATATATTCACAGACATTACCTCCCTTTCTTCACTCCACAAGCGTAAGTCCTTGTTCTTTTTTCTGGTGACTACCAACTAAAATAATTTCCCTGGCATTGCATTATGCTTCCTTTTATCATAGATGTGAATTCTATTTTGGATATTCTTACACCTGGACAATATACACTTACTCTTATCAACCAAGAGATGGACGTTTGCATTCGATGGATGCTTCGAAATGTGCATTACGCGGCTAATTTCCCTGTTAGACGTTATCAGGATTTATTTAATGTAGGTTAAAACCGCTTTTATTATCGGCCGTTCACACTTATTTACGTGGTATGATTAGCTTTTCAGTTAAATGTTTTAAGTATTACTGGATTTGCCCTTTTTCCTTCTTCAATGTTTTTGATAATCAAACCGTATTTGCTGGTGATATTTACATTTTCCCTTTCGACAGACAAAATATCTTTCAGCCCCAGAAGGTCAAAACCTACGAGTGGCCCTGACAAGATTCATTGTAAATAATTTCTACCCTGACAACGAAATGCTCGCCTCAACCCTCATGCCCCGTTGGAACGCCATATCCTGGATTATTTCGCTGTGTACCGTAAGGCCCCTTCTTTGACCCAACTTTGATGGTGGGGAGATTTACTCGAGATGTTGTGTTTTGGCGCAACAGTCGAATCAGTTTTAGCTTACTTGTTTAAGCTTAGGAAATGGATTTGGGAAATCATCTTCCTTAGGGTTTGGTGTGTATGTCCACCCATGAAGGAGGCTAATCGAGTTCCTATTAAATGTGCATGATTAGGATTTGCATGACCCCTTGTAAATCACTAGGCATGTTAAATAATTTACACTGTTGTGAATACTGTTTGATTGCTATAAGGTGGTGAAATTAGGATTGATGCCGTACGTTGTTGGAAATTCCTGTGTGAAAGCCGAATCTGTATTAAGCGCAGTGTCTTTCCTAAAAAGAAAACCGTCGAAATTGGGGAAGCTTTTGCTCAATTAGTGCTAACTCTTCTTAATTTTATTGGAAAAGAATTACAAAGCAATTGTTGCCACAGTACACTGAAACTTTCTCGGTAAGCAGTACTTCGTTTCCTTCTCTAGGTGGATATTTGCCTACAACTTTAAGGGCTTGCTATAATTTCCCCCTAATTTAACAACATATCTTCTAATCTTTGTTTGTGCCTCCATTGCTATCTGAATGCTGCTGTTCTCCTTAGCCTAGGAAGTGATTG